TAGTAGTAGTAGTAGTAGTAGTAGTAGTAGTAGTAGTAGTAGTAGTAGTAGTAGTAGTAGTAGTGTAACTTGTTACTAGTAGCGATGCAACTTGTTACCAGTAGCTTCTTATTACTAGTAGTAAGTTGCCGTGCTACTAGTAGCATTGTATGCTGTCTTAGCAGGGGATACAATCAAGATTCATTATTTTGAACCCGCGGAACCTTTGAACTGAAAATCCCACTGAAGCTTATTCGCAACCTTTGAACAGAACCTGCATGACCATAAGCATTCAGGGCTGAAGGTTGGCATAAAAAATGCTGATCTGGGTCAACGAACCTGCTGAAAGGCTGAACTGAACGATCGTTGGTTTCAGCAGGTTCGAAGCTTCATCATTGGGTTTTCCAGATCCATTTCGATTCAGGACAAATTCAAGCGTCCTAGGTCCGACTCTTTGCAAAAAGCATTTTCATCCACTGTAGGTCACCTCGGAACCGGCCAACTGGTGTGAGAGTCTAATTTGGACATCCAGATCTCAAACTGCTTCGTGTGGCGATGAGGTCTTCAGATCTTGCCTCAGTTGGGGGAGCTTGCCGAAAAAAAAACAGTTGGCCAACTTCGTTGGAAGCTGGGAATTCGAATGGCGATGTCAGTGATGAGTTTGATTCTCGATCCAAAGAACATCGAAGTTTTGTTTTTGTAAAAGTACTCAAACCCTGAGATTTGATCGTGATTCATGGGACTTCCGATGGATTGCCGCTTCGACAGCGGACCTTGTTGCCCTTTTTCTTCCATTCCAGAAGCTCCTGCTGAAAGGAACCGATCTGACTCCTGTTTTGGTGGCGCAGGTCACAGGGCCAAACATTTGGCAAACTAGGGTCAAACGAGATGACCTAGATTCTTGGAACGACCCTTGGCATGCGACCGCGCGGCTGACTCTGAAAAAACAGTCTTCCAAGTAGGTTTGGGTTGAATCTCATCTCATCGCTTGACGCTCGCTCTGCCACGCGGTTCGGCGCCGAAGCAACATCTAGCGTGCCCATGTCACCGTGTGATGCAGCACGCAGGAGAGTCGGTGTCGTCTCATCAGTCTTGGCATGAGGTCGGAATCACAAGCAAGTCTTGGCGATGGCCATCGCTACGAACGGTGGAGGCCATCGCTCTTAGGTTGCAGCCATCGCCATCCATCGTCCTTAGGTTGGAGGCCATCCCTCTTAGGTTGTGTGTCAGGCCAGTGTCTTGCGTCCGGTTCGTTTGACCTTGTGTCATTGGTGGATCTTCACCAAGGTGATGTCATTGGTGTTTTAGCCACCGGTGAAGACATCACCCTGGTGTTTTCAGCCCCTGGTGGTAGCACTCTGGTAGCCAATGATGTCATCACCCTGGATCTACCAGAGTGTTTCAGCCACTTCAGAGACACAATTCACCTGCCGACGTCGCAGCCTGGCTACTGCGACCTGTGTTGCTGTATCATGGATGCGTCCCGGATGCGCATGACCTGCCACGATGTCTCAGAGAGAGACCAACAGATGGGTCAAAACCAATTCGTAACATCCCATGGGTCACATGTCACATTGGAGTGGAAAAGACCTGAGGCAAAAGACATAGATGCTAATGCTCAAACCGCGTTGTTTTTGTGCGGTTTCACGTCGTGGAACGTGACAAGTCAAACCCTGAAACGGACCTAGTAGACTGGTAGATAGACGGCTCCCGTTCGGTTTCGATCCTTTTTGTTCTCATCTCAGAACTCGATGGGAACAGATGTATAACTTAATAACAGAAAGGATCGAACTCATGTACCGCTCACAGCGCTCCCCTCTAGTGTATAAATACGAGCAACACAGGTCTGTGGTATGCACACATGTCTTGAGTCTTGAGGTATGTCTCAGGTGGTTTTGGATGTTGGCAGTTTTGACCCACGCTGGATTTGTGGCTGATTTGGAGAAGGTTTCTTGAAAAAACGGGCTTGGAGAGCCCTCAGGTGAGGAAGAGCAGCCTGAAGGTGCACCTTGCGGTTCGCATGAGCAGGAACATCAGCCGGTGGCAAGGGAGGCTGCACTGGCATGAGTGAAACTATGAAATTGGGGAACCGCAACAGACCCAACAAGCAAGAACAAGACTCTTTTTCCGGTGGACACAAAGCCCCCCATCGAGTCTCTGGCTCCTAAGTGCTTGCCTTGAGTCGAGCACGGGCGTACAGTGCATTTTCACACCGGCCCTACTCTAACGGCCAAGCGAGACCAAGACGACATCAACCCCGATGCACTCATTGAAGCTGAGCTCTTTGGGTGGAGCGCTTCGTCGAGCTGGTCGAACTTGAGCATGTTGTTGGCATACACTGCACTTCAATTGTTTCGCCGCTTCAATGACTTCTGGTTTGGCTTTGGCATACCGAAGTACGTGGACAAATCTATCTGGACTTGGGTGTCCCATTCCAACATGTGCTCGATGAAGAAGACGATCCATGGTGAAGCGTCGTTCGAGAGGTAGTGGTGCATTTGGTCGTTCATCTCTCTCTTCTTCATGTTCTTCCTGTTCTTCTTCGCCTTCGACGTCACGGGAGTCTCCAGCATGTAGTTCCTGTGCCCGACCAGATAGAACACTTTCGGCTCGATCTGGTTGTTCCGGGTCGGCTTCGCCTAGATGAAGTTCATGGCCAGGGACTTGAAGATCACATACTGGTGATTCCCTGGTCTGATCTGGTAATCGATCAAGTTCCGGTCCGGCTTGATGAGGCTGTCCTGGATGAAGTTCCGTCTCAACCATCAGCTCTATGGCCAGGAGTGAATTCAATCGATCATTTTCCCGGAACATTTGGTCAGAGGTCATGGTATGTACTTGAGCTCCGATGGAACGAGCGTAAGCGGCCAGGATAGCTGCTCGAAGACCTTCAGGATAGATTTGTGCTCTCTTGGACTTGTTGCCACCCATGATGACTTCGTGTTATTGTCACCAGGGCATAGGTTATCCAAGGCCTTGGCAATCTCTGGGCTGTTGGTGGCAAAACCAGTCCTTCTTCTTTGTCGTTGGCCAGATTCTCCACGGAGTCCATATTGGCATTGATCTGCCTTCGTGTACACTACGTTCGGTTTGGAGAGGAGCTGATCCATGGCACGGTGTTTCCACGAGGACGCAGCGTGGGGATGTTCCAAAAGGAACTTGATACCCAAATCATTGCGCAATTCGCGCAACTGCAGGGCAAACAGGAGGAGTTGTTCTCGATACTTCTGTAAAAGAGCTGGCGCTCGTTCTCGTTTGTTTTTAGAAAGGTTTTGTAACTGCGAGTACATTTCACATGGAGGTGCAATGCAGACAAGTCCAGGCCTAACATCTTTTACATACTGCATAACTTCGTTTCGTTTGTTTGCTTGCAACAAATCACAATCCAACTTCAAATCAAACGCACGTCCTGGATTGAGGTTGAAGCGATGAGCAATTTCTCCAAAACAATCTGGATTATAGATTTCAGCGACAGTTCTTAACTGTTTGTGAGAAAGTCCCATGATCTCTGCAATCTGGTGCGTTCTTTTCGATCCATTAGGGTGCAGGGTGAACTCCTTGCAAAGTTCATGATTAAAGCCTTGGATCCAATCTCGCAGTGTCGCATCTCCATCATGCGTTTCTGCAAGGATCCGCTTCCAAAAAGCCACAGCCTTCTTGAGGGCTGCCCTTAGCTTTCTTTCAAGCTTTGGGGTCATTGGCTTGAAGGACCCTTGAAGTCCTGGTAATCCTCCGTTTCGGTCATCCCCTCCTGAGGTGATGTTGTGGTTGGTGTCGACGGACGGGGCGGTGCCTCCGATGGACTGCTGGGCGAAGCCGTCTCCGTGACCACAGTCTTCTTTTCCTGGCGGATCACCTTGTTGCAGTAGCGGCAGGTTACCTGGGTCAGACAGGCGTTCGATCCCTTCCGATGTGTAGTGGAATGACGACGAATTTCTGGAACCATTCCCTCCAGCACCTCTGCATAGGACTTGGGATTGTCGCCCGGTTGCTGGCGGTACTTCCAGCTGGTCACATCTTTCAGTGGCTGTCCACTGTTTGAACTCGCACTGCCGTCCCGGGTATTGCGGGCATCGGAAGTAGATCTCCTCCTCGTGATTCTTCTCGGTGCTCAAGTGGACTTTCACCTGGAGGCCACATCGACACCGGGGCCTGGGACCTGTCAGAAGATCGATGCCCGGCAAGCTGTCGATCTGATCGCAGC